CTGGGAAACACAAAATATGAATTTTTTCAGATCCCGTCTCCTTCTTGTGGAATGCCTTGAGCTTGACAGCCCAGAATTGAATTTGGCATACTAAGGAGTACTGAGAAATTTACATTTCATTTTTTTGACCAGCAGATTTACATCTGTAAGCTAAAGAATATTAAAACATGAATTCCTCCAGGAGGGGAAACAGTCCTTTTTCATCTTTGTAGTCCCAGCACATAGTGCAGTACTTGGCACTTGACAGATACGCAGTAAATATTTGCACTGAATTAAAGAACAGATTCCAACAAGTAGACACTGCACTTGAGTTATCTTCTCATGAGCTGTACCAGAGCATTGAGGCCTTTGTTTCTCTGTCTTTGAAATACTCTTGAGGCAAAAATGCTGACTTTTGTTGTTTTCTGATGAGCAGAAAGGTAAAGGATGAATTTACCCAACTTGCTTTTTCCCTTGTGGTTTAAAACAAGGTTTGCAGTTGGATCACATAAATGACAATTTAACTTCCAGATTGGGCAGTAAAATAAATCAAACCCTATTAGATAATTGATATTTCTTAGGTACACCTACTCAAGACAAATGATTGCCATTCTTTAAAGACACATTTTTTTGGCCCATCCTACTCCAGGTAGTCTGTTCAATTTTGTATTATTTTCAGGTCAGAAGTTGAGGTTGCTTTATTCCTAGTGGCCATGTACCTGGCTCTTGGAGGTGTTTAAAACCATCCTTTTGAAATTATTTAATTTCCTGTTACTCTTCCACAGAGGCATTTTTTAAACCCCTTGATTGCCTTACTGCGGCATCTAGGAATCTTTCTCATTTCTCATTTGTCTTAAAATATGCTGCCGAATCTACACAGCATTGTGATGCGCTCCTGAGATTTATTTGAAGGTTTTATTAGTGGCCTTTAGTGTTCTTGCTTTGAAAGGCAGCTCAAGTCCATCAGTACTGCAGTTTGCATGGACAATGAAAAGAATGTGGTTTTACCCCTTTTCAGATAACCTGCTGTTCTTTACATCAGTAAAGAATGAAAATAGTAAAAAAAAAAAAAAAACTTAAAAAAATATTGCTTTCTAGACAACAAAATTTTAAAGAAAATTTCTCTGTCGCTAGACTTGTTACCATCCTTACTTTGGAGTTGGTTATAGCACAGAACCATGTAGTTAGTTAAGTTAAAAATTATCAGGGCAGTCCACCGTTAGGTTGGCTACCAATTCCCATATTAACTAAATATTCAAAGTAATTAATAGATATTTTGATTCTGTGTCTTCAGACAAGTCAAAACATCTGATTAAGAAGTGAAAAGTCCGTGAAGTTTTCTGTGACTAAGTGAATTTTAGTCATTTGGATTCACACAGGCATTGGTTTAGTTCCAAAAATGTTGTCATTTGTTTGTAACCTGTAACAGTTTCCCAGAGAATCTGAAAGTTAGACCTGTTGGCAATGTACAAAACTTGGAGTATTCTGAAGTGTTATACTAGTGGAACTTCACACACTGTAGAACCTGACCAATGTGTGTTTTCTCCATGGGAAAAGCCATTTGTTTTTCTGTTATGGAAAGTGTGGGAGATGTGTCCCCATTCCGAGCTCCAGCTCTTACTGAATAATTGGCGAAGAGTCTCTGTGCATGAAATCCGTATCCCTCACAGCTAATAACTAAATGTTATACTAAAATATTTATTGTTTTTCTTGTCTTTTTAAAAAAAGTTTGCTGAAAGTGACTGCTTTCATTTCATATTTCATTTCATTTCATATTTCAATATTTCGTATTCCAGATGCATGCCCATTTGATGTTGAACGTTAATGAATGAAGGAGACAGTATGTTAAACATGCTGCCAGTCCAGTGCCTGAAGTAAAGTAGCACTCCCTAAGTATTATTATCATTATAAATATTGTTTGGTAAGCCTACAACGAATCATTCCTAACATGCTAAATGATAAAGTAACTGCATGTAGACAGCAGTGGTGGGTTTTGAAATGCATATCATCCGGGGTGAAATTGCCTTGTTTTCTGCCTTTTTTTTCAGAGCGTCTTCAAATAGTTCTTAATAGATTAAAAGAGTTTTAATGCATCTGTCAGCTTATCACTTTGTTTTTGTCAAACTTGAGTTTACTTTTTGATTGCTTTAAAAAGTATGTTATTTACAAATGTTTAAAAATATAATATATGTGTATCTAATGCATTGCATTGCATTGTTTTAAATAGTTATTTTCTAAAGCTCTTCAGGACTGCTACAATCACATGCTCAGCCAGAGTAGCATTTGATTTATGTCAAAGTAGGAGCACATGAAAAAAAAAATGGAGCACTTAATTGGAATTTCACAGTGATTTCCACATAAACCAGTTTAAACAAGGTGTATTTATGTATAGCAATCAGGAATTGACTAATCTCCTGTGTAAATATATGTGTGTCAAGGAGGTGATTTAGAATGAAGAGTCTCTGCACAATAGAACTTAGCCTGGTCGGGTCACAAAATGTAAAAGCCGATTCTTGAGCCAAAACAAGAGTTGTTACTGTAGATAGTGTGTCATTTTGGTAACAGCATCACTTAATTAAGATAGGGTGATAGATAGCAATGTAAACAGGCTGAAGGTCAATTAATACTGTTTTTCTGGTTAAATTTTACATTAAAAGCATTTATCACAAACGAGTTTACATTTGATCACTTGTCTCAAACCATCAATTTTTTAAATTTAAATTTTGTTTTTCATTTTTAAAACTGTGGAGTTAGACTATTTGGGAAACATTTTGGCTAGAATAGGAAAACTTGTAATTTATACATATCCTGCATCATTATTTTAATGATATTACTAGTGTATTATCTTATTTTTTGTATTCTAGATTTAGCAAAAAATGTTTCCCTAATTGCGTTTTCAGCTAACATGGTAATTTTAATTTTATGCAGATCTGTGTAAATGTAACACTGCTCAGCCTTTTTTTTTTTTCCTACCTCCATTTAAAAAATGTCAAACAACACAGCAGCCATAACTTAATTATCTGTGGAGTTTGTTTTGGAGTGAAATAAGTTACTTAACAGAAATGCTTGAGAATAAACATAATGAAGCAACATTTATACTTAGAAATATGTTTTCATTTTTCAAAATTCTTCATATATCTATAGAAATAATGGAAAATATAATCTGACTTAATAACCCCATACTCCTGTAAATTTTATTTAAGATGTTAAATGAAATGATTTATCATTTTTCAATTTTTTTAATAGACAATGTTAGAACAACTTAAAGTAGCAATTAAACTTTTTGAAAAATAGAACTTTTTGAACCCAAAGCAAGTCTCCTTTTCATACCTCTGCTTGGTTGTCATATTTTCAAAACAGCATTAAAACAGACCTTTATCTTTGAAAATCCAGTTATTAAAAAACAGAAAACATTAACATTGACAACTTTCCATTTAGTATAGGAAGAAAACTACATTTATAATTTTCAATTTTAAGGCATTTATGACTGTGAGATACTATAAAATTCTTTTTGGACAATATACTTATTTTGATATATCCTTTAAAGATATTGGTGAAAATAAACACATGCTTATTCGTTGATGGATATACAAGCCTGAAATTACTGTGTGCTTGAAAAAGATACGTAGTCATATCACAACAGTATTCATTTTATGTGACTAAGAAAAAGAAAGAAGTTGCCACTTGAATATGAAGAAAGAGTAGTAAAAAATATTTTCAAGTCATGCTTAAGATTTCAAGGCCATCTCTTCTGGAAAATACTATATTACGGGGTATGTGTGGGGGAAGTAGGGAAGGGGTTAGCTCCTGATCCTCATGCTTAAGAGCAGTAGAAGTTTCCTATTTCTTAGTTTTGCAGATCATTTAATCATTTACTGAAAATTTATTGACTATTTAGAATGTTCCAGGCACTCTGCTGGGTATGTTATGATAGTGCCGACCTTCAGGAAATCTCAACCAGTATTTATATTGTATTAAACCCATTGTATTAAAGAACATGGTATATTTAAGGTACTTAACCAAAGCCTGGCATAAAGTAAGCACTCAATAAAGGAAACTGTTAATGTTCTGTGCCATCCTTCACACTATATTTCATCTATTGAGGAAAGGAGTTTAAAGTTTCAGTTATTGCATTCATAACAGTAGTGATAACTATTTCATATATGTCTGTTGAAAATTTTATTAATAGCATAGTTTAATGAAATGAGCAGAACAGAATCATGTGGCAACTCTCTATACTATAAACAGAAATGCTTTCAGATTAACTAGATTTCTCTTGAGATAGAATGTTATTCTCAAATACTTAAACATTAAATGGAATTAGAAATGTGTTTGCAAAATGCCAGTTTTTGTTTGGGAGTTCTCAGTAAAAGAACTGTTACCAACTTTGGAATCCAGCTCACTATGTATTTCAAAATCACTTTGTGAAAATAAGCAGTACAGTGATATAATCTCTTTAAGAAATTGAACTTGAGCACATAACATTCAGATTATTTCTTGGTAAGTATATCTAGAGCTTGCTATTTAACATGATAGTCCCTAGTCATATGTGTCTATTTAAATTTAATTTAAATTAAAAATTCAGTTACACAGTCCTACTAGCCACATTTCAAGTGCTCAGGAGCCGCATGTGGCTAACGGAGCTCATAGTGGACAGTGCAGATATGGGACGTTTCTATCATTGCAGAGAGTTCTATTGAACAGTGTTGCTCTAGATTTTAAATAAAGGAATAGCTAATATTTATGGTTAAAACCTTGCTGAAAATGACCTGTTACGTTTGGTGTTTGATAATTTATTTGAGCTTTTCCACCATATCTTCTAAATCTTGATGATTTAGCAAGCTCTTTGACAGATAAAGGTTAACTTTAAAATGATTTTAATTTCAGTAAAAGTTACACCTAACTAATTAACTCAGACTCAGAAAATGAAGTACTTTTGCTCACTGGCTTTTAGGAAACTAGAGTTTTGAAAATTGTCTAAAAGAAATGGATAATCAATGAGATCAATGCTTTTTCTGCAGCGCCTTCCAAACCTTTTTTCCTGAGCTCCTCGCCATTCTACTCAGCATGCTGTGGTGGGTCCTGTCGGCGCCCTGCATCCCCCACTGCTTTTCCAAGTAAGTTTTTATGCTTCATCAGCAATGCCTCAGTTATTCTGTAAACCAAAGCAGCAAGATTTAATGTGCTCTGGAAAACTAATTGGTAATGCAATGGCAAGGAGCTAATTCCTCACTAAAAATCACAGCAATCCTATTCAGGAGGTTTCCAGAGATTTATCAAACCTCAGCACACTGAGCAATTGTGCGCTGTTTCTAATGGCATTGAAATCCAGGCTGACACACCAAGGAAAGCTACTTGTTTTCTATTTGATATAAAAGATCTCTGAGGGACCAGTTTGGCTCTTTTTGAAATGTGGAGCAATACTTGTTTAAAGAAGAAAAAAGAAAGGAAGGAAAGGCTAAGAAATTGTGCTGTATAAAATTTCCTTTCAGCTTAAAATAAGACATAGAAAGTGACTAGGTATCTACAGAAAATAATTTAAAATTGTCAAGATTTTAAAAGGAGATAAAGACCTCCTCTTTATCATCTTGAAGAAAACCAACCAGAACTATTTAGCCTTAAGAAATATTTTCAAGAAGAACTTTTCTCCAAACAGTATAAAAGCAATGTTTTAATAGTTTCTGGGGCAGGGTGAGAATGACAGTTTTCAAACATCTGCAGAGTGCCTGAGCCCCCTCACCCCCACACACTCAGAGGGAAAAAAAATGAACTAAAAGTAAGTAAAATTCACCTTGGTCTTGAGGTTTCTAGGTCAAATAAGAAAATGGAGGCAGAGAATTGGAGTTTATGATAAAGAAGTCCAGCGGAGGGCGCATTTATTTCGGCTGCCCAAGAGAAAGCATTTATTCAGGTTAACAGCTCTGTCAGGTGAAAAGTGAAGTAGGTGTTGAGTCATTCTGAAGCACTGAGCTCTATCACGGTTGAATTTTGGTCCCTGTTGCCTCTGTGCCTGTATTTTATGAATGTTTCAGGAGAACAGTTGCTCGACAGAATGATTCCTGACAAGTGAGGCAGCAAATGCTGACCGTTTAATGAGCTGCGAGCTTCTGAGCATCTCTTTAGGGGGCTGATATTTTCCCACAGAGCATTTTACATCACTAGCGCCCAGTTACAAAGGATGACAGAACCGTAACCAATCGTCACTTTCACTTGACTCATCCACACGCGACCTCACCACAATTTTTCACTGTGCAGATGAACTTTAGGAACCATTTCACATGGAAAAGGCTTGGGCAAGGGTCAGTTGCCCTTTTGTATGGTCATAAAGCAAGGCTCTGTGTGTCAGTCTTTTCTCCTGTCTCAAATTCCAAGTGAATTTCTGGACACCATTTAAAGCACTTGACTGAAAAATAAAGCAGTGAATGAAAGTGACTTTTATAGACTCATTCTAGCTCATCTTCCCATATAACTCTGTCCACCTGAAAAGGGGTTTAGTGGATGAGTTGAGTGTATACAGGGACTTGCTGAATACATAGGGCCCCTTATCAATTGTAGGGACTGTTATTAACCAGGACTGATATACTACTATTTTGGAAATGACCTATTAATTGTCCATTTAAGTAGAATGTATTGAATTCAAATAGAAAAATAGAAACCATGACTAAACCTTTTACTCACTCCTTCAAGGTGGTCTCCTTTGAGGGCAATTGAAATCTGTTAGGCAGATTAAGGAGACATTTATCACCATGCATTAGAGTATCAGGAAAAGATTTCTGGAGCAAAGTCTTAAAACCCAAATATCACAGTGGCATCTGTGTAGAATTAAATCTTTGGTATTGTATTTTAGGGGTAGAGATTAAAAGAGGTTCCACGCTTAGTTTTAGTTATTTCACCCTGATGTGATACTGGTCTTTTTCTTTCGAAAATCTCTGGCACTGCAGTTCAGGTGAGTGGAAATGGGGAAAAAAAATTCCATGTAACAGGTGGACAGTCACATGTATGTGTGTGTATTTATTTTATACTGACGTTTTAAGAGTGATTAAGCCATAAAATATACTAATTCTTGGGCTATTTTAATGAACAGGCATAAAAGTAATTCTGAAGACACTTGCTAGATAACTTCATCTTTTCAGCTGCTTGAAAAAAAGCAAGTGTCGTTTTCTGCCATCTGCTTCTCAGTCCTTCCTGCTTTGTGTCTTTTGCATAACGTTATAAATTGTGGTGTCTATCTCTAGAAGCTCATTAATTCTCTTTTTTAAAATAAAATGTATAAGCTGAAAATCAGCACAGCTCAGATCAAGGATAGAGAATGCTGCACTTGATTTGTCTCCGTTTCTGAAGCTGGCATTTTAAAACAGTTTAGAAATGCCACAAGTGTATTTAATAAACGATGGTGTTTATGCTTTTCATTCCTGTTGGCAGCAAATAATAATGACATGGTAGAATTATGCTGTCAATCCAGATTTTACATAAATAACTGTGATACCTAGGAGCAGTTAATAAGGCTTACATCTGCACAGTAGTCCTTTTTATTTAAGTCATTTACTAGTTTTCTTCATTTTTATAACAACGATTTTTATGCCCAAGCATTTAAAATTTTTTCCATTATACAAAAGAAGGAAAATGAACTGTCCAAGTAAACTTGTATTAAGTTTCCGCTTGGACAGCCAAAATTAAGGTTTATACTAAAATTTATAATAACTGATGAAATCAGTGGCCCTCATCGTTTCTCAATATTGCATTCACTCTTTCTGAAAGAGTAGGTGATCAACATATCTGTAACTATGTGAGTGAAATACCATTTTGGCTGTTTTAATATGCTTCATTTGTTTAATACTGATTTAGTTTTTCTTGTTAACTTCTTAGATTTATGATTGACTCATTGTTGCAATATGGAAACAATCATTCATAGAGTGCCCTTCTCACATATAGTAAATCGTTTAATAGGCTATTTAAGCACAACCCATAGTGGGGAAAAATGAAAAGGCAGTGGTAAAAGTTCCTTCCTTCTCCCAAAGCAGTGTATGGAAAACCTTTGATATTACATTCATAAAGTGCTTTTCAAAATAACATATTTCTCCTTGGCTAAAATGAAATGGAAAGTTGTGGAAATTATGCAGATAATGACCTTAAAAAAAAAACCACCTAAAAAAATAGAGAAGTCTTAATTATGTAGACTGGCTAATTGACTTAATCAATCAGATAATTATTTCATTTTATCTTTGAATACTTAGCTTGAATCTGACCTTTTAAGAATTTTACACCTTAAAAGACAAACCTTAAATTTGGAGCAGCATTATAAAAATCTGAGCCAGGAAAATTTTGAGACCATTTTACTATCTGCCCTTTATTGTTAAAACTTAAAAAGGCATAATATACTCTCCAAGTTTGAACTTAGGATTTTCGTGGAAGGCAGCAAGGAAGGGACGTTAATTTCATGGTTATGAATATGGGTTGATCCTGTGAGTTTCATTGTCAGAGATGGGTATTGCTTTGATTAATATTCTTACCACCTCACCTGGCTATGTTCTCATTTATTGCTCTCAGCTGGAGTGAGGAGTTGACTGAGGAGACTGACCAAGACATATAGAAATCCACAAAAGGCTGCATAAAAGTTTCCTTTAAGAAACTGTAAGATCTTCTTACACTGTAAGATCTCTAAGATCTTCAGAGAGATGCAGCATTTTGTTTTAATAGTGAAAAAAGCCTAATTGTCTAAAACATTAGTTTGTACAATAAGTTGATTATGGGTCCTGATTTCTCAATAGTGAAGACGAGGGTGTTCCATAGATAAATGACATTCAGTCAACCAAGAAGAGTGTTTAAAAGAGTCAGAGACTCAAAGACAATAGATTTTCCAAATTGATGGCTCTATTCAGCAGTTCTAGAGAGGCAGTGAAAGTATTTGAGTAGGCTTCCTGGAGTAGAGTCTCCTTTTTCCCCAAATGTTCATAAGCAGTTGGGGGAACTGCTTATGATATAGGATGCTTGTCCCTGAGCTTGTCTACAGCCCTTCTCTGAACATAACATGAAATCTAATAGGGCTGCTTACAACATCCTGACTTAAGGTTTCCAAATGCAAGTGCACAAATGCATAATAGGGGAGAATTGGCTGACTATAACACGATAGGAAAGGGATACACTACCAGCTCACTATGTGTTTACTGAGTGATGTGGGGATGTTGGATTGTGCGTTAGAAATAGAATATCCAAAATAAGGGAGCTCATAGTCCTAGCAGACTCTATTAGTCAGATTGCCTACACCTGTTCCGTCCTGTAGGCCCACTTTAAAAGTCGCATTGAACAAACTAGAATATATAAACCAGGTCAGGCGGTAGGCAGCAACTATTCTGGTGAAAGATCTGTGTGATTGGTAAGGAATGTTTGAAAGAAATTGAGTATGTTTGGCCTGGAGAAGAGAAAAGATAGCATATGAGAGTTATCTTCCAAAAACATGTATTGTATGCAATTTAGATATAAAGTGTAGAATTAGGACCAAGGAATGGCGTTTAAGGGAAGTTAAATTTGGGCTCAGTATAAGGGAAAAATTTCTAGCAAATCTAGTTGTATGCTAATGAAATATTGTAGCATTCCCAAATATTATAGATTACATAGAGATTGGAGGATAGACTTTTAGTTTAAATTAGGTCAGGACAGGCAAATGCTACATTTTCTCTCTCCAGACCTCAAATCCACAGAAAGTATGTAAATGCATATACACGCACATCCCACATCCCCAGACTTGAAAATAAGAAGGATAAGAAAGCTCTTTGTGTAAGAGAAATTGAGAAATCCCTGAAAGATAGGAGACAGGAAATTGCAGCTGTTGGGAGTGCTGTTGCAGAAGAAAATGAGCCACAGAAAAAACCATCCCACAGTTTGTGGAAAGCTGACTCCAGGAAGCAGAGACACAGACTCAAAGTGAAGTAACTTACGTTTGACGAAATAGTTATGGAAGCTGATGGCATCTTAGTCGGCCTGTTGGACAGGCCTGAACTAAACAGATGACCTCTGGTCTCTTCTATCTCTGAGAAGCTATTGAATCTATATAAAAGGGCAAAAAAAAAAAAAAAAAAAAAATTGTTTCTGAAAGCTTTGTTGGTAACTCCAGCTTAAA